TCTCATACTTATTCTTGGTTTGGGAGCTAGACAGCGCCCCATTATCTAGCTATGAAAGCAGGGATGTCACTAAAGGTGGCCTCTTATTACTGCTTAAAGGCCTATTAGAAATCTCATTTTGCTTTTTGGAGATGTCGTTGTGATGCAAAGTAGTTCAGGGTTTCATTACTGGTGAAAGCCCTTTGTTTGGGCTCACCCGTTGTGTTCTGAGATTTGCAGTTCTGTTTTCCTGCTGCTATTCCGAAACAGGAATACTGTTACTTTGAGGATTTCATGACATCAGTTGTGAAAAACATACTTAAAGCAGGAAAATTGCTGCTGAACAGAAAGGCACTATCAAATCTCCCCTCCAATACAAGTGACAAATTCTACTCTGTTTAGCCTTCCTGACATAGGATTTCCCTGTGGAGGTTCAGATAAATGAATATCTGCCAAGTTATTACTGTAAAGTTCAACAAAGAGGGCGTTTTCTATGATTCTCCACCCTCCCTGCCCCCATTTTTTTTTTCTTTGAAGCAAGTGATTGTGTTTTCTTCTCCTTAACACTCAGCAGCTGCTAGACCCTGACTTCTATGCTACTGACCTTGTGAGCTGGCCCTGTCTTCTCTCTGGGCCACTGTTTCCTGGGCAGTTTGCATTCTCAGCTGGAAACGCTCAATGACCTTGAACACAGAGTCCCTTTACCCCTCTATGCCTCAGTTGTTTCAACTCTAAACAAAGGATAACAACTGATTCTTCATGTTATGTGGATTTAACAAAATCACGTGTAGAAAGTGCTTAACACACAGCTGGGCCCAGAGGCTACTACTCATTCCACAAGTATTTGTTGAGTGTGCCTACTATGTGCCAGACATTGTCCTACATGCCGGGGACACCAAGAGGAGCAAACACAGGACCCATGTCTACCCTTGTGGAGCTTTCAGACCAATAGAAGATTCAAGCATTGATTAGGTAATTACAAGAACTTCTATCTCCAAATTGGGCCAAGGACCAGGAAGGAAAATTACAGGAAGCTTCCTTGGGCCCTGATGTAATCAAAGGACATTTTTCAATTACTTTTTTTTGTTTTTGAGATGGAGTCTTGCTCTGTTGCCCAGGCTGGAGTGTAGTGGCACGATCTTGGCTCACTGCAACCTCTGCCTCCCAGGTTCAAACGATTGTCTTGCCTCACCTTCCCGAGTAGCTGGGATTAAAGGCACACACCACCACAGCTGGCTAAGTTTTGTACTTTTAGTAGAGATGGGGTTTCACCATGTTGGCCGGACTGGTCTCGAACTCCTGACCTCAGGTGATCCACCGTCCTTGGCCTTCCAAAGTGCTGGGATTACAGGCCCATGAGCCACAGCGCCCTGCCTCAATAACATTTGAATGGAGATCAGAAGCAGGAATAAGAGAGAACCAAGAAAAAGAGGTGTCAGGCCTCGCACCAGCCCCAAGGTGCATTTGAGCAAATTAGGAAAAGGTATCCTCACCTTAGGGCAGATGTGGCCACACAGCCAGGAGCAGAGCATGTGCTGGGTTTTAGCACCCTCTGGCCGATCAGCTGGCTGCCCTTGAGCAGAGAACAACGAGGACCTCTGTACAGGGTGCTTCTGGCTAGGAGTAGGGGGATACTGGAGGCAGAGGAAAGCAGCTTAGCAAAGGCCCTGAGGTGGGAGAAGCACCACACACTTGAGGAGCTGCCAAGGGCCAATGAGGCAGGAGAATAGGGCCTGGAGGCAGGGAACCTAAGGCTGTCTCACATCCTAGGACTAAATTGAAAGGAAAACCCTAACTTTCCATGCCTAAGTAGCAAAAGGACCAGAGGCTCCTCGCTTTTCAACTCCCAAAATTTTCTGCGCAGCAGATGGGAAATTGGCTGTCCACAACCAGTCAGACTGATTGCGGGCGAGTCTTTGTTTGCATAGAAGTATAATTTTGTTACTTCGCTTCAGCCTCTGGTTGGCCGCTTTTTACAACCAATCAGACTGATTGCTGGCTACCACTTACTTCATTTACATGAGGTGAGCATGAAGTGGCCAATGGGAAACTTCTAGGGGGTATTTGGACCCAAGAAATTATGTATCCGGGCCCTTGAGCCGCTGTTTGGGCCCGCTCCCACACTGTGGAGTCTACTTTTGTACTTTCGTACTTTCATTTTCAATAAATCCCTGCTTTCGTTGTTTTGTTGCTTCATTCTTTCTTTGCTTTCTTGGGCATTTTGTACAATTCTTTGTTCAAAACGCCAAGGACCTGGACAACTTGCAGTCACGACCCTCCACCAGTGACGCCCGCAGGGCTGGAGCATGAGGAGCAAGGCTGCTGGGAGGGGATCCAGAAAGTTCTCAGTAAATATCAGCCAGTGAGAATGCATTAGAGCATCATTCCCATGAATTCACTGCCAACACACCAAGGTCTCCTTATAAACACCAGGGTCTCTCTAGAAGCTGTTGAATTTTAACTAGTGAAGGGAAATTACTTCAGGGATGTCATTTGTTGGTGTCACAGAACTGAGATATAGAGAATCAGGACGTTGGATGAGGAGAGACATTTAATGTGGAAAAGAGGGAGCCCAGGCTGGGCTGGTGGCTCATGCCTGTAATCCCAGTGCTTTGGGAGGCCGAGGTGGGAGGATTGCTTGAGGCCAAGAGTTGGAGACCACATAGCAAGACGCTGTCTGTACAATTTTAAGAAAATTTACTTAAGAAATGTAAAAGAGACTGCGCATGATGGCTCATCCCTGTAATCCCAGCACTTTGGGAGGCAGAGGTGGGCAGATCACCTGAGGTCAGGAGTTCGAGACCAACCTGGCCAACACAGTGAAACCCTATCTCTACCCAAAAATACAAAAATCAACCGGGTATTGTGGCGAGCTCCTGTAGTCCCACTATTCAGGATACTGAGGCAGGAGGATTGCTTGAACCCAGGAGTCAGAGGTTGCAGTGAGCCAAGATCATGCCACTGTACTCTAGCCTGGGGGACAGAGTAAGACTTCATCAGAAAGAAAGAAAGAAAGAAAGAAAGAGAGAGAGAGAGGAAGGAAGGGAGAAAAGAAGAAAGAAAGAGAGAGAAAGAAAGAGGAAGGAAGGGAGGGAGGGAGGCAGGGAGGGAGGCAGAGAGGGAGGGAGGAAGAAATGGAAGAATCACCTTTACTTGGTCTCTTAAAAAGGACCTGTCCAGCCAGAAAACCAGAGCCTGGCAACAGCTCTGCACTCACTAGAAATAGTGCTGATAACTTCTATGTTCTTTGTGGCTTTGATTTCTTTGGTTGTGGAATAATTCAAAAGAGCATTCATTCACTCAAACAAATATACTACATCAAGCTTTTCTTTTTCTTTTTTTAAGTCAGAGTTTTTGGAGGGAAATAAAACCCTTGGGTCCTGGAGAATCATGCACTGTTGCCAGTTAGCTTTGCAGTCTGTGGCAGGCCAGGCATCTGCATTTGTTTGCCCAGTTGAGGCCTGATGTGTCAGCACTCCATGGTAAGGGATCTTGGGCTTTGGGATTGTAGAGGTCTGGGCCCAGATCCTGACTAGGCACCTACAAGCTGTGTGACCTTGGTTAGGTTAGTCAACCTGTCTGTGCCATGAGTTACTGTAAGCTCTAGCTGTTATTTGGGATAGTTTTGAGGCCAGGGCACTTGGGAGTCCCTTACTTGCAAAGTCATTTCTGGGGATGCTATACTGGAAGCAGCCTCCATGTGATCCACGTCCTTTGAGGGTTTCTTTCTTTTATATCTGAACTGTCTTGGCCTTTGCTTTTCAGAGGCAGCTATGTTTTGCTTTGGGGGAAACATAAAGAACCTGAATTAAGACAGATTTGTAAGTCCTTGTCATCTGTTAGTGCCTCTGTTAAACTTTTAGGGGGAAAAAATGAGTAGTCTTAATTTTTTAATGTGGTATCTTTGATTTTTTTAAAAAATCCTATAATATGAAAAATCCCACAAGAGCAGACACTATCAACTGATCCAGCACTTGAGATATTTTATTTCTTATTAAGATGAAGCAGTGAAACCAACCCAGTCGTCCCATAGTTTTTGTTGTTGTTGTTGTTGTTTTCGGATAAACATAGAAATTGACCCCTCCGGTCTTAAAGCTTAAAACTTAATTTATCTGAGTTCCTTCCTCAGGGAAGGACCCCCAGGCCTCTCAAAAAAAAAAAAAAAAAAAAAAAAAAAGGCGGTATCAAAGAACTGAAACTCATCAGATCACCACATCTAGACAATGAGATGCCAGAGCCCTCATTCATCATGATTGCTTCCTAGCTCCTCTGTAGTTCTTGTTTCCTTACACATTGTCACATTTCTTCCCTGCTGTATAAACCCCTAGTTTTTGTCCATTTGGGAGGTGGATTTAGGATTGATCCCATCTCCTCCTGACTGTAGCACTCGATTAAGATTAGAGTCTTCTTCCCTGGTAATACTCATCAGCTCAGTGATTGGCATTCTGTGTGGTGAGCAGCAAGACCTACACCAAACCCCTGATGTTTCTGTTGTTACAGAACTTAAAAATGTGCTTGAATTTAAGCCACATTAACCTGGAATGCACACTAATCAGAGATAAATTCCAGTGTTCCTTTCAGGAAAGAGATGAACTGTAGTCCTTAATTTCAATGGAAAGTTGGAGAAAGAGCTCTTTATTATGTCTCGGTCATACTGCAGTACATAAAGGCAGCTGCTCCTGTCTCTTGCATTGTATCCAAACAGTCTCATGTCAGTAACATGTATGTTGCACCTTCAGGACTAAAATGCAAGTATAGCAGCCTGAGTCCTTCAAAAGAAGAATAGGCTAACAATGATTTAAGATTACACTGTTTTTTTTTTTTTTTTAAATCCTTCCCAGATTTTAAAATAATAAACGCCAGCTCAAGCATACACTTTTCTATCTAAAATGACACTGTTGCCTGCTAAGAAAGGGGATGGATGAAGCACTTAATCAGAGAGGTCATTATGTTGTCAAAGACAATGCCAAGGCTGAAGGACTGGATTCTCATGGGCATATGACCATTTTATTGCTTTTCAGCCCACGGCCGCCGATCCCACTCTCCCTCCTGCTGACAGAAGAGGAAGCGGCCCTCTACATTCAATCCTTCTGGAGAGCCTATTTGGTAAGAATCATATGCAACTGTGGTATTTGATTTAACAGGGAACTTTTGTGAGGAGGAGGGTCCAGGGGAAACCTTAGATGAGTTAGGAACAGGATATTATAGCTAACATCCAGACCTCAGAAATAGGATTCTCTGTAAATGGGTCTTAAAGAGTGATTTAGAATTTTGACCGAAACTGGCTGGGCATAGTAGCTCATGGCTGTAATCCCAGAACTTTGGGGAGGCCAACGTGGGAGGATCACTCGAACCCAGGAGTTCAAGACCATCCTGGGCAACATGACGAAACCTCATATCTGCCAAAAAGAAAAAAAAAAAAAAAGAAAAAAAATACAAAACTTAGCCTGTGTGGTGCACATCTGTAGTCTAGCTGCTCTTGGGAGGCTGAGGTGGGAGGATGGCTTGAGCCCAGGAGGCAGAGGTTTCAGTAAGTGGAGATTGTGCCATTGCACTCCAGCCTGGGAGACAGAGATACACCCTGTTTCCAAAAAAAAAAAAAAAAAAAAACAAGTAATTTTTACCAAAACTTATTTTGTAGTTATTGAAAGTACTCTCTTCACCTTTTAAAGTTGGGTTGACTGGCCTGTATTGATATATACAGAGAAAACTACATTGTCATTTTAGAAAACAAATTAGAAAATTCAGGTAAGTCGGATAAAAGAAATAAAAATTTTTTGAGTCACTGATAGCTCCATCACCAAAAGATAATTATTGTTAACATTTTGGTATAAAACTTCAAACTTTAAAAATCTGAATTCACATAGTGACATATAAACACTTAACATAGAAAATAGCCTTTGCCTTTATAACCTGTCTTTTTTAACCATTTTTCTATTTGAGACTTTGAGGTTATTTACAATATTTTTTATTATTGTAATAAATGCTATAATAGACACCTTCGTTCAGTCATTTTTGCACGTTCATCTGGTCATTTATATAGGAAAACCCTAGAAGTGGAATTTCTAGATGAAAAGGTAAGCTTTTTTTAAAGCTCCTGATCCTGGCTGGGCAGGATGACTCATGCCTGTAATCTCAACACTTTGGAGGGACAAGGAAGGAGGATCTCTTGAGGCGGGAGTTAGAGACCAGCCTGGGCAACATAGTGAGACCCTGTCTCTGCAAAAAAATACAAAAATGAGCCAGGTGCAGTGGTGGGCATCTGTAATCCCAGCTACTTGGGAGGCTGAGGCAGGAGGGTCACTTGAGCCAAAGGGGTCAAGGCTGCAGTGAGATAGGATTGTGCCACTGTACTCAAACCTGGGTGACAAAGCAAGACCCTGTCTCAAAAAAAAAAAAAAAAAAAAAAAAAAACTCCTGATAATATTGTCATGTGGCCCTTCAGGAAGGATATAGTGTAAGAAGTTCTCACCAAATACATATGAGAGTAGCATGTGTATCTCATTCAAAAAAGTATACAACCTCTCCAATTATTTGGCAATTAGTGTATCAGTGTTAAATAAAGCTCCCATTCTAGGTAGCAAGATGACTTACCCCAAATCTGAGCATCATATATCGTGGAATGAGCTTACATTTAACATCAGCCGTGGCAAACACCGCCAGAGGGAAAGGTCCCAGTGGATTTCCATAGAGACCAAAAGCTTTTCATACTCCATACACAGCTGGTGTAGGAAAAAGAGACTCTGATAAACACACCAGCAAATAGCTATCAATTAAGAAGTTGGATTAATCCTAACAAGCTACAATTAATCAACAAATATTTGCTACATACCCATTAGTGGAACTGTCCCTGAACACAAGAGCTTACTGTATGAGTCAATATTGTCCAGTTATTCCACTCCTTTTGTGCATGGTACATTCCAGAAACCAGGGCTAAAGGGAAGTGTGAAAGTTAAATAACATATTTGCACATTAAAGGAGCAGTCTATGCCCAAAGAGTAAAAAAAAAAAAAAAAAAAACCCTGTTACAGAAACCCCTATTATTCCCTGTGATTTAGACATAGTTTTTTATAATGTAGGTTTTCACTATTTCATACATATTTTATAAATGTGGTCTTTTTTCTTCATTGAACACCAGAAGGTTAGCTTACATCCAGGGATGTCTAACCAAGGCAAAATATTCCTGCTGTTCAGCTACTGGAATTCCATCTTTGATTTGTGAGACTTATACTTGTTACACTAGAATCAGCAATTTTACTTTTCTACTTTTATGAAATGTTAAGAGCAGACTGTGAGTGGTGGCTCACACCTGTAATCCCAGCATTTTGGGAGGCCAAGGCAGGCGGATCACTTGAGGTCAGGAGTTTGAAACCAGCCTGGCCAACATGGCGAAATCCTGTCTCTACTAAAAATACAAAAACTAGCTGGGCATGGTGGCGCATGCCAGTAATCCCAGCTACTTGGGAGGCTGAAGCATGAGAATAGCTTCAACCTAGGAGGTGGAGGTTGCAGTCAGCCAAGATTGTGCCACTGCATTCCAGGCTTGGTGACAGAGTGAGACTCTGTCTCAATAAAGAAAAGGTAAGAGCTAAGTGCAATAAAATAGTCATTTTCAAGCCCGTCCTTGAAACAGGTGTGTGCTGTTTATTTCAAATGAACTCATACCCAGAAGCCCAGTATGTAACCAGTAATAACAGTAAAAGGGGAACTGTTCATCCCTGATTCTTCCATGGTAAGATTCCAGCCACCCTCATCCTCCCACACACAAGGAGCTTTGGGATTCATTCTTACTGATATGAACACAGTATGAAAAGCAGTCTGTAATTCCACTTATCATACCAACAAAGCAGCTGAATTCCACTTATCATACCAACAAATGCTGCCATATAAAACGATGTCAAAGTGGCTCAAAATTTAACTGTGGCTGTAGCACCATCATCACACAATAGCTATAAATGTGTTTATAGCTAAAAAGATGTTTGGGGGCTATCAGTGTATACTGTATGAAATCAGGCTGTTCAAATCTAAACACCTCCCCTGTTAAAATCATAACCAAAGGGGGCTACAAAAGGGGGAACAATTTTGAGCCATCACTAGAAGGAAAAGATGTCTGATGTATGGATGACCTTAGAAGGCACCACGGAAAAGAGGCACTTCCTCAGTCTTAAAGAGGAAGTGGGCACTGGTATGTCAGCTGGGACCAAGAGGGCATTCCAGGGAGAGGAAACAGCATACATCCATTGTTAAAAGAAAAACTTTAGACAAATTTCGCAGAAGTTATTTGAGCAAAGAACAATTCATGAATTGGGCAGCACTCGGAAGCAGGAGAGAGGTTCAGAGAGCTCTACCCAGCAACCTAGGCAGGCCTTATTTATAGACAGAAAGTGGAAATGACATCCAGAAACAGCTTGATTGGTTACAGCTTGGCATTGCCTTATATGGACGTGGTCTCATCAGTTGGCAGCCTGCAATCGACTGAAGCTTGTCTGCTGTGATTGGCTGAGACTCAGCTACTTGTTACAAGAATGTACTCATAGATTGCAGTTCATGATCCATGGAGGCAGGTTTAGGCCGAATTTAATTTGACACTATTATGCCATTTTTTGTTAAAGCATATTGTATATTTTGAGCACATGCACACACATGGATAGGAAATTAGCTAAAAGAAACAGCAATCTGACAACAGCGAGTACCTTGGGGTGGTTGGGAAAGAACTAGGAAGACTCTAGCCTTATGTATACTGAACACTTTTTTGTTTGTTTTTGTTGTTTTTTTTTTTTTGAGACGGAATTTTGCTCTTGTCACCCAGGCTGGAGTGCAGTGGCATGATCTCAGCTCACTGCAACCTCCACCTCCCAGGTTCAAGCGATTGTCCTGCCTCAGCCTCCCGAGTAGGTGGGATTACAGGCGCATGCCACCACATTCAGCTAATTTTTGTATTTTTAGTAGAGACGGGGGGTTTCACCATGTTGGCCAAGCTGGTCTCAAACTCCTGACCTCAGCTGATCCACCCGCCTCGGCCTCCCAAAGTGCTGGGATTACAGGCGTGAGCCACTGCACCCGGCGACACTGAACACATTTTTTTATAAAGAGAATGTAGTATGATTTTCTTTAATTAAAAATGAACTTAAACCAGAGATCATCTCAATGGATATAGAAAACGCATTTGATAAAAATGTTTTCATGACAAAAACACTTAACAAACTGGGAATAGAAGGGGATTTCCTCAACCTGGTAAAGTTATGAAAACCACAAAGCTAACATCACATTTAATGGTGAAAGACTGGATATTTTCCCCCAAGATTAGGAACAAGAGGAAAATGTCCTCTCTTGCCACTTCAATTTAACATAGTACTGGTGGTTCTAGCCAGGAAAATTAGGCAAGAAAAATAAATAAAAGCATTTGGATTGGAAACAAAAAAGTAAATATATTTCCAGTCATAGATGACAAGACCTTATATATAGAAAATTGTAAAGATTCACTAAAAACAACCTATTAGAACTAATAAACAAGGTTGCAGGATACAAGGTCAGTATACAAAAAGCAACTGAATTTCTATACACTTAGCAATGAACAATCTGAAAATGAAATTAAGAAAATAATTCCATTTGCAATGGCATCTAAAAGAATAAAATATTAGGAATAAATTTAACAAAAGAAGTGCAAGGCTTGCATGCTGAAAACTATAAAACATCATTGAAAGATATTAAATAAAACCTAATCAAATGGAAAGACATCCTGTGTTCATTGACTGGAAGACTTGATATTGTTAAGATGGCAGTACTCCCCACATTGATCTACAGATTCAACACAATGCCTATCGAAATCTCGACTGGGTTTTTTGTTTGTTTTTTTTTTTTTGTGCAATTAACAAACCAGTCCTAAAATTTGTATGAAGATGCAAAGGGACCCAAAACAGTCAAAACAATCTTGAAAAAGAAGAACCAAGTTGGAGGACTCACCCTTCCCTATTTCAGAACTTACTACAAAGTGCAGTAATCAAAACTGAGTAGTACTAGCATAAGGATAAATGTGTATATAAATGGAATAGAATTGAGAGTCCAGAAATAAACTCTTACATTTATGGTCAATTGATTTCCAACAA